CATTAGCCTTAGTTACACAAGTGTAGTTGTTTTTGACTGCAGTAAAAATAAGAGGAACGGCGTCTTTATGTGCCAGTGGGTAATAATGTTCCAATTCTCTGCGTGCAGGTGTTTGTGGATTTTCAGTCATGTGCAGCTCAAGCATGCAGTGTGTATGCTTTGGATCAGAAAGGAGAGAAGGTACAGTTAACAGGGCAGGATGGGGTCCAGCACATACAACACAGGAGGCGTTAACTAATGCCTCCTCTGCTGCATTTCGAACCCAGTCAAGCCAAAAATTCTTCTGTGTAAACCCTGTTTCTATCTCCAATTTTCCTTGCAGATTGATAGGCGGAGGAGTGTGACGTGAATCAGATTTCAGAATGCCATCACGGGTATATACATCATATGGATTATGATCCTGAGTAGAATTTGTTCTTACAATTAATCTGAATCTCCCTAAAGGATCAGCACCTGAAACCTGAGCCCCCAGGACAAACACATTATCACTGTCAGTTATACCGGGGTCTTGAAGTGTTATGAACAAAGGAACACATTTGCCAGTTCTACAATTTCCTGGGGCTTCACCTTGAGTAGGTAGAAAAACTTTACCTTACTTTTAGTCTGATTGTCTTTAGATGTTTAATTTAATCAAGGATTTAAGTGACTCTGTAACTATTGAGGTTGTCCACAACTGGAAAACCTTTTGCGTACAATTTCCCAAGCATAAACGTGGTATGGAGCCCCTCAGCGGAGCAGTTAAATAGTCCGGTCTGTAAATAACCCGTGGTCTCCTCCCCCTGTTTGTGAGGATCGCTACAGCTGCACACGATGGCCGTGTCCCCTGTCAAAGAGTTCCTGGTTACATATTTAATGCCAGAGAAGTGCTACGAGGAGATACTCGTCAACTTTCACTGGCACGGTGAGGCTTAGCGTTGAGGTTTTGGAGTAAGTGGGTGAAATGTTGCGATCAATCTTTCCAGGTGTGCGGGGCGTGGAGCTGAAATGCAACGTTGCAGATCTGTTTTGTAACGTACATATGCAGACGCGTTGAACATCTGCTGATAGTTTAAACTGTTTTTATGCCACAGTTCCCTGCCTAAAGTTTGTGCTGAACAAAATTGCCGGATTTTGGATCTTACTGGACACTGTACTGGGTAAGATTTCTTCTCAGCCCAAACCGACCTGATTTAATCATCATCATCGTCAACAACAGCAGCAGCAGCAGCAGGACGTGATAAGCATTTACCCCAACATTTACCCCTGACAAACATTTTAAAGAAGACCACAAGAAAACTCGGTCACTCATGTCATTTCACTAATGGCTACACTATAACGATGAACCCAGTGTTGAGCATTTTGATTTGGTCTTTTCACCACACATCACATTAGGATTTAACCTTAACCCTCAATGTGTAACATACAGTATAGGCCTATCTTTCTTTTGTGACCCACAGAATGAGGTGTCTGTTAAAGTGTTACATTCCACAGTGCTCAGTACTTAAAGCTGCAGCTGTAGATAAACATAATACACTTAAGAAATGGTGACAAGATTAACCACAGAATTAAGCAGAAGCACATCATAAGAAACTGAACTGCATTAACCACAGAATTAAGCAGAAGCACAGATGTTTGCACATCATAAGAAACTGAACTGGGCAATGAAGTAGACAATGTGATTTTATGTGGCTATCAAGAAATTCTTTTTTTGTTGTGTTTTGGAGGAGTTTGAAGAAGCTAGAGCTAGTTTACTACCAGCTGCACATTGATTTCCATGGTAACTCATAGTTTCTTTATGTGAAGACTACAGTGTCTCAGTCATTATTGATTACATATTGGACTCTTCAGTCCTAACAAACGGTGATTCTGCACGTCCTCACCTCCGCTTGTGTCATCTCCCTGCAGCACAGCTACCCCAGCTGATGAAGATACTGTGGAGAGGAAGTGCAGAGGGCCTGAATCTTACCTCCATCCTTCTGCAGCTTTATGCTTTCTCATGTCCTGTGGTGTACGCCATGGCCAATAACTTCCCTCTCTTGTACGCAAGTAAAAGACCATGTTGTAGTTGATTTGTTCCTGTAGGCACTGAACACTTTGATCACACCATGTTAGGAACTCTTTGTTGCCCCTTTCAAGCCACAGGAGCTACAAGATGAGAGAAATACAGTTTTGCTGATGGTTCTCTGTCCCAGACAATGAGTCATTAATCAGTGTCACAGGTTTTGTTTCATAATCATGTTGAAACCCTCTGGATTCTTATTAATTTGGGCTGCAGAGACTTTAGATGCAGACAGACTGATGTCACTTCAAAACTTAGTCAGCTAAAGCACTGATCTTGTAATTTAAAGTTCAGACGCCATGGGTCCATTCATGTCCATACACCTCAAAATGTCAGTCTATTGAAATTTAGCAATGTTTTTTGGTTTTGCAGTTGACAACATGTGTGTGCTGTTGTAGATGTTTTCCTTATGTTTTACTTGACCTACCCCACAGTGCCTGGGCTGACAGACTCTTTGCACTGACCCAGACAGCTGCCATTGTCTTCCTCATCCTGCACTATCGCGGTGACACCCTCATAGGTTAGTAAGCATGTATGCAAACTTTCCAAATGCCCACTCCAAATAATCTGTTGCATTTCTTAAAGATAAGGCTACTGCCATTCTATATTTTATTGCCATGAAAAGAGTAAAACCAACAGTGCATTACTCCAGCTCTGAATGCTGTTGCTCAGTCCCAACCCAGTCATTCCTATCTTTCAACATCCTGTCAATCTTTAAAAATGACTTCTAAATACATAATTTTAATATAGGCAGTTTCCAAAAACAGCTGGGCACTGTAATTTTTATGTTATTCAAATAGGAATAAATAATGCCTGTGTTGGAGAATATTTTCAGTGGCAGGTTGAATAAGCATTTGGTGCACTAGGGTGTAGTTACACAACGGACTCATTTTAATTATTCATTTATTATTTAACTAATATTTTGTGTAGTCTTCAGATTGTATTTTCCATTTATTATTGAATCAGGGTGGATTCAGTTGACAGAGTGAGATAATTAGCACTTTTTGGCAACAGTTCAAGTATACTGATTGCAAGTGAATACTTGGTATGAGCCATGTTTTCTTATCAAACCACTTATTCTAACATGTTTCCTCACATTGATGTAACTATCAACTGTTCAAAGATCTTTTGATACATGTCAGTGTCGTAATTAAAATTAGGAAACTCAAAGTATTGTAAAAAGTTATGACAAACTATTTTAGGCCTCTTCAGTCTTATTCTGTTGTAGATTCAATGAAGAACGTGAAGTTGCCATCTTTTTTGTTTTGCAAATTTATAAGAAAAACTAGGTGCATACTATTTGCTTTAATTATCTCTGAGTTGTGCCTAGAATTTGACTGGAGGTGGTGGCTAATTGATATGATTGGTCCTAGTTTAGAAGGGCTCACATCTATTTATATAAGCGCCACAGTGTCTGGAACACAGCAGGCATTTCTCATCACCTGGCTACCACCTCTACGGTGAAGGATGGGGCCGCTGTCAAGGTGTTTCTCGCACTTCCAGTCTGGCGGAGACTGAGAGTACTTACCAGGAAGAATGGGATTAGATGCCTAAATCCAGGTGTGGACAGCTTGTAGAAAGCTTGAAGCTGTAATTGCTGTTACGGGGCTTCTACAAAGTACTTGAAGGGTCTGAATGAGAAATTTCAGTTTTTGACGTGTAAAAAAATGAAGGGGTGCTTTCTGAAGCCTCCATATATCTGTATATAGGATTGTCCCAGAATATCCTGCAGTGGATGGAGTTGCATGTGGTCGTGGTCATTCAGTCTTGTGCTGAATGTAAAGAATGATTTACCAGTTAATAGTAGTGTTTCAGATGACAACTTCTCACAGTCTTCCTGTTCCATGTCTGATGAGTGCTGTCCTGTAGCTCCCCCTTGTGGTGTTTCACTGTGAGCGTTGTAGGACGAGCAAACACTTTGTTTAAAATGCATAGATAGTCAACTGTTTCAAATGATTATTTAAAATTGTCTGCTTTATGTTTTATCTGCTTATTTTATAAGTAAACATCATGAAAGTTGATGGCAACAAATGTTTTAGTGTTTCTTGTGTGGCATTTTGCCTTGACTTGTATCTTTTACCATCCTGCTTTATGTCTACATGGCAGGCATGCTATTCCTCTTGGCTTACAGTAGTGTAATGTTCCTCCTGGGCTCCTGTGCAGCTGCTTTAGTCGTTTCAGTGTTGCAGACCTCCAGTTTGGCAGCTTTAATTGCAAGCAAGGTAACAACTAAGTGGCTTACCCCAGGCCTGTGAACTTGAATTGCAAAATGCTTATGAACCATAAATGTGCACATTAATCAGATGAGAATTAGTTTATTTGTTGGAGTTATTGTTTCCAGGTTCTACAGGCTGGAACTAACTACTCTAATGGGCACACGGGCCAGATGTCCACCCTGTCTGTGTTACTAACATGGGCAGGATCTCTGGGTCTTATTGTTGTTTCTCTACAGGTATGCATTCAGGAATTACACACAAACATAAACAATGCTGCACAACTATATATTTTACACTATTCTGATCTGCTGTTGTTGCTTTTACTAACTGAGATTACTTCAAATGTTGTGTATAGGAGACAGGAAGCTCTTTGGCTACTCTGTCACACACACTGTCAGCCTGCCTCAGCTGTATCCTCCTAGTCCAGGTCCTCTGCTGCAGGAGCAGCACCACCACTAACAAGAAGAATGAGTAGAGGCGAAGAATGGTGACAAATGAACACTCACGTCATATGCAAATTGCTTCTGTCATTTCAAAAATGGCTTATGAGTCTGAGCCAGATACAGCACAGAACTAATGTTTACATTGCCTCTTTATACTAATATACCTGTGTGCTACACTTGGATTTTTATGTGAATGCTGAGTCAGCAGCAGCAAGAGCAACCTTTAACATTGTTAACATGTACTTTAACAATATGTTAACAATATGTCAAATTTTTACACATTAATGACACACAATGTGCAAACAACACTGCCTTTTTGGCTTTCAATACCTAATGTGCCTCATTCAATCTGTCAAGGACAAAAAGCACAATACAGTGAATCAGCTTCTTAAATGAAAAGTAAAATTTATTATTCCTGAATCATAAAATAGACTTCTTTGGTTGTACAAATTCACTAGTTAGTCTTGTATGAGCTTCAACCTTTGACCCTAGGACCTCTGATCCCTTACTGCCGACCTGTTTGGAAGTAAAAGCCCCCAAAGCGAACTCAAAGATATAAGCAACACAGATTGCTACTATGCTGTGAGTCTGCAAAAATATCAGTCAGATACATAAATGGACAGCCTGTCAGGCAATGAGCTGAATGTGATCAACATCTTGAGAGGGATTTCCAATTATTACTGTCTCTTGTGGCTCTACCATTAACACACCAATATACATGCGGAGAGCACCCTGAAACCAAGCCTGTCTAGACCCAGATGTGTCAGCAGGCTAGGTCAAGACCAGCTTGGTTTCACACCCAGAGTTTGCGTTGCTTTCAATATTTGTACATTATTCACACAATAATAAGTGATTTTCAGTGGCATAAGATTTAAATTAACCTTAGACAGAAAAATAAAACACCTGCTACCTTCACATCACATCTGGAATACCTCCAGACAACACAAGGATAATGCATGATTCACATTGATAAAATGTAAAACAATGCCCTAAACAGGGCAGGGCTAGTACCGCTGATTAAGCACATTAATGGTCATAGCCAGGAGAGTTCATCTCCCCCGTCAAAACCACCAGTGCCTCCCCACAAGGAGCCCCCTCAGAGACCTCCTCCTCCAAAGAAGACCGACGCATCCAGACCAACAAGGCTCAAGCCTCCACCTGCTCTAAAAGAAGCTCAGGATGTACACAAGGCTGCACCACCACAGCCTTGCAGACCCCCCCAAAATAGTTCAAAGTTAATAAAGCCCCCATTCCTCCCAAGCCCCAGTTAAATAGTGAGAATATGTAAAAATGGAGAAGAAAGAGAAGAAGTCGAGGGCTGGATCCCCTCAAATTATCTGAGCAAGAATCCTTAGTGTGAGTCTGCTCTTCAAACCATCACCTTAGGATTAAATAGATAAAGGATTAAAATGAACAAATTATCACTACCTTGTAGCTAATAAGCGTTTTTAAATTTATAGGTACATTATCTTTAAATGTACACATTGTTTAATTTTTTTAAGGATATTTTAAACTGAACCAGCAATAACACATAACCTTACGGGTCTTGTAATGTTTATTTGTTTTTATCTAATTATTAGGTAACATTACGGGTTTTTTTTGCTCTATGCTAGTTGTAGTCTATAGAAGCTAATACAGAAACTGTACAGCCCCACCACTGTAAGAAGTCTACTGAAATAGATATTTGTTAGGGCTGCACGATAAATTGTTTGAGTGTGATTTAGATCCCCAAGCAATCTCAGCCTTGTGTGACGATGTGAGAAACTGAAACCAGAAAACGTTATAAATGTGTGTTTTCCAACAGCTGGATAGCTCTGTGGTTAACACCACTGTACTTGGTACAGCAGGTTGGGGTTTGATTCCCTATCAGGGGCGTAGTTAATATCCAGTGTGGGCCCTTAGCAGGGAGATGCCTGCTTAGATAATATATTCAAAAAATGGTTCATTACTCGAGGCTTCAGTGACACAGTGCTCCAGTAGGACATCTAGTGGTCAATAAAATGAAGTGCAAACGAGACGTATCATTTATTGGTTCATGGATTGTTTGGGATTTGATTCATCATGCACATTCCTGTTCCACTACAATACATGGTTGTATGGTTTCATGCTGACACAATAAAATATAAAATAAAGATGAACTCATGTTGAAGACCATGTTTCTTATTTGGCACGTCTGATTGTAGTAGGCTTTAGCTACGTATATACTTAACCTGACATTTTGTGCTATGAATCATATTCTATCCTAAAACAAGTCTAAATAGCCCATATAGATGTTAAATAGTGGGTGTTCAGTAGGCTGGATGGCAAATGTGATCTAATTTCAAATGTTTAATTGATGAGCTAACTCAACTCTGTTGGGAATCAAACCCACGCTACATTGTTGCAAGACTGTAGTTTTCATGATGCACCACAAATTCTAGTCACATTACTTTGTGGTAATTTCACCTATTTGAGTAACGTTAGCTACTACACTCCGTGATTCTTCATCAACTCCACCCAATGTACATATTAAAACGTTTACATCAGTCATTTTCATTTGCTCCAAGTTTCGTGGTCTAGTAATGTTAGTACTGAATGCAACACTGTCAAACCAAATCTCTGTCGACTCGAGTCTCTATTTGCTTCGAAGGGTCAGCTCAGCTCTCCCAAAGAGATGATACAACCAAACCAGTAACAGAACTTCGATACCGAATGAAGCAGTACTGCATAAACACCTATCAGGCATAACATTATGATCACACACTCCAGTCTAGAAGGTGGCGGTAATGCACCTAAAGCTGTTTGCCAACCGCCATTGATCAACAGCAGAAGAAGAAGGAGATGATGAAGAAGAAAATAACAATGACCACTGACTGGTGAAGTGAATAACACTGATTATCTCGTTACAGTGGCACCTGTCAGTGTGGGGTATATTAGGCAGCAAGTGAACATTCAGTCTTTGATGTTGATGTCTTTGAAGCAGGAAACTGGTATATTATAAGGATCTGAGTGACTTTGACAAGGGCCAAACTGTGGTGGTGATATGTTGCATTAAATTCTTATTGCTGTGGGAAGCCTCTCAAAGTGAAATTTAACATTCCTTCAGTTTAGTATTGTTTAAATGTGGAACCTTTTTTCAAGAGTGGTGCTTTACAACTGCAGATTAGTTTAAATTACTGTTAAAGATCAAATTTGCAGTGAGGGCCAACAAAATGGGAATTGTTAAAGTGAATGCTCCTTGTAGGCTTGATGGCAATGAACCCAGCAGAGGGATGAGATCAGCAGTACGGCCTTTTCTTCAGACCACCAGTAATTCAGAGACGGCTGTTATTTCAACATGTGGTGAGATGACGTCTTGTATTTCAATCGCCCCCCCAGGACTTTGTCTAAATGGATGTTGACTTGGAACTTTGCAGTGTCTATTCTGCATAAGTGTGTATGAAAGGATGTTAGCCGCCCAGAACAAATAATGTTCCTGCTAAAAGCCTTTTGTCCAAAATGGAGCGAACCTATCAAAACATGATGGGTTGAATTTATGGAGCATATCATGCTTTAAACTCAAGCTTTTTCCATTTCCCCCTTAGGCAATCCTTAACCAGATGTCATTCTGTGGCCAGACAATCAGCAGCATGGAGGACATGCATGGAGACAGGCAAGTTTGTTTATAAATGCACCATTATTGAAATCAAAGTGTTACGAAACCTTTTTTTTTTTTTTTTTTGCAGCCACTCCACTCCATCCCATCCCAGCCAGCTGCTGAAGTTTTGGCTAAGATGGGAAATCTCTACTGGTGGGTCCATCAGGCCACAGTACCTCACATTTTTACTCCATGCTGTTGCACTGCATGTGCCTGGACCACAGTTATGGAGAGTCTTCATGCCCATGCGCACTAGGGGGCGGTGGGGACAGCAGCCAGACTTTCTTAGGCTCCAGCGTTAAAATATCTGATGTGCACACACTGACAAAGTAAAAATCACATGCAATTACAAACACACCTTTCATCTAGACACACTTTTATTAGCAGATGGAAATCGCCTCAAGGCCTTTTACAAATGAACACATTGATTAGCACTTTTATTCTATTATTTCAGACTCTGTGTATGTACATGCACATGTGTCTGTGGATCTGTTCATGTTTCGTTTTTTTAAATGTCTCTACCCAATCCATGCCACAGCTTCACTGGCTCCTGTGGAGTGTTGACCATGTCCATCCAGTGCTGCAGCTGAGGGCCTCTGGTGTACATGAAGGGCCCTAACACCAGCACTCCCAGTGGGACTGGAGGCTCTGGGAGAAAGATACTGTATATGAATATCACTGTTTCAGTGTATCGGATCTTATCTGCAGCAATATTAGGGGGGCATTGTGATCTGGCGCTACAGATCACAACACAGAAAAAGGCATGATGAAGAAAGTGGTGAAAGTTAGTTAGGAGGTGAAAGTTCACTTGGGTTAAGCCAACCAATGCTTTTTACTCTATGTGCAATAAAACTTGCATGAAGTAAAAAAAAAAAAAAAAAAACAGAGTAATTAATCAAAACATCATGACATGTTGAACTGTTTTGAATATGGTTTCAGAAGTGAAACTTCTCTTTCTTTCCAAGTACAAACTAACAGCTGTAGTATTACTGGTGGTAGGGACAGTAGCGCAAAAAAGGCAAATATTTTCACAAATTCTACTAGTGTAATTTCTAATGCACATGCAGGCTTTAAAACCAGGGTGAAGTGCAGCAGGCACAGACAAACACACAATTCTCAGTCAGATCAGGGAATATCAGTGATTGTCCTCTGTGACCACAAAGGAGGAACCAGACATTTGTGTCATAACACGTGCTCTGTTTGCACCACTGACTGCCAGTATGTTCCTGTCTACCCCAACATGGTAATGCCAGTTGGATAACTGGAACTTTTGTGTTGGCTTCTGGTTTTTCCTATTTGGCCTGATATTTAAAAAATGTTTTGAATATTTGGGACTATTTGTCAAAAAATCAAGTACACTAAGATTGTGTTTTCCACTTTAATAACTCAGTCACTAGGTTGCTATCCACTTAATTATTTTTCCATTATTTATCCAGGTTCACTGAACATGACTGCCCAGCGCCCTGTTTCATAGCTGCACAAACCCTTCCATACAGTTGCTGACACCCAGGCGCCACCTAGTGGGGCCAGTTACTCGGCAGCTCACCGGAGTGGCGCCAGGTCAAGCATTCTGCTTGAGGGCGTATTTAGGGATGAATCAATAATTTCCTTGCTCAGAGTTTTTCTGCTGGTTGGCGAGAGTGAACACTAAGAACCTTGAACTCACAATAACAGTTAAGGGGGTGAAAGAAAGAAATCAAGAAAGAGTACGATTATAGCTCTACATCATGTCGAAGATGATTGAATCAATATTTGGAATATACTGGGACCATTTCCTGTAAGCATCGGTTTTGGGTGAAAGGATCTATTCATAACCATCTCTGGAGTGGCCTTCACGCTATAGCTCTTTCCATCCAACATGAACAAAATATCTAGTGTTGCTCAGAAACACCCCGACCATATCCTGGTGCTCTGACAGGAGTCAGAGTGACTGATGCAAGACACCAGCACCAGTGTTTGCTTTGGTGGACACTTGTTCTCATCCAACAGAACACAAACAGATGGCTTACCGGGGTGTTTATGCGTTTTTACTGCTCAGCATCTAGTTTTATGTTTGTACTTTATGGAGTTTCTTATTTTATTACTTACTGAACTGTACTGTGAACTGAATTTAATGATATTGTGAATTACTGGCTCTGAACATTTAGTAAAATGTTTTCCACAGAATACAGATATTTGTAAGTGGAGTCACAGAAAGTTCACAGAGCTGTCACCTTCAGTCACAATGTCACGACTGGTCAAGGTGTTTACATAAAGGTGTGTACATAAAACTCTTCTATGTTGCAACTCAGGCTTTTATGTTTGCAGTTTCACACTGCTCACTTTCTAAATGACACTGTTAGCAATGCAAAGCGCAGCACTGAGGTGCACATGCCTGAGGCACAGGGCAGCAGCAATTCCCATTATAATCCAAATAGTTTGAAGCAAAGTAATATTTTTCATCTTAATTAGACCAAGAATAAGAAATAACCATGAGAATGAAAATAAATAATGGGAACATTTAGAGCGAAAAAAATGAGAAAAAACAGTGTATGAATTCAAGAATTAGAAAAGAATTAGGGAAAACGAGGGAGCCTTCATAAATATATGTACACATGTATACATTATGGCAGAAAAGCTTTCAGACTTGTACTGTATATACAATGGCTATATTTGCGATTTATTGCCCCAGAGTGATTGAAATAACAAAGGAAAACCAAAGATTTTAATGAAAAGTGGGCTCCCCAAAAGCAAGGTTTGCTCATTCTCTCTCATGATCCTCAACTGCAGAAGGACCCTGGTGAAGCCAGTGTCCTGGATGAAGAACCCTTGGCCACCACTGAGAAGCTGCCTCATCCTAGCGAGCCAGCCAAATCCGACGACAATAGATTTGTCCTGAGCCTCCAGAACCATCTCGGAACTCCAGACCAGCTCAACTCCGGCCCACAAGGGTTTCGAAACCAGTGCTTCTCCTTCCGTGGCTGTGTGATCCCTGCTAAAAGCTAAGTACACCCTGGCAAAATCTCTGATCTACAGAAACCGATAGCTAACTTTCTCACCAGATTTGTGACTAAGCCCCAGAATTTAGCTCAAATTTAGACCATTTTTAACTCATTCTTCCACCATTGCTAACAATAATAGTAATTTCTCCAGCTATCCACTGATTCCATCCTTGTTATAAATGTACCATTTCATTGCATTTTCCGTTTTGTATATATTGTAAATAAATTTATATAGACTATTATTTAGAACTGGCTGTTTCTTGTCATCTTTGGTCTCTTTCATTTTCAGTAAAAAGGTCAATGAACTGCAGAATTTGCTGCTTTCACATCGAGACTCAATTACTCTGATTAACAAATTCATCAATAGCGTGATAGAGCTATAACCATCTGGTGCTGTACTCTAAAGAGGTATTAAAATATTAGAAATATAAATTAACATCCATAAGTGTGGTCATTTCCACAACATAAAGAAGACAGGGTTGCATCAAAACTAAAAAAAAAAGACAACTCTTGCTGCAGGAATAGTCTTTACTGCATAATACAAAATAAACTCAAGTAACATTAGTCTCCTCTTTTCTGCTATGGAAATTAAGTGAACAAATATGTGTAAATTCTTATGCCTACAGTACATGTATTACATAGGTTAAAGATGTTCAGTTACTGTTAAAATGATTAGTAACTAATAATGCATTCATAGATTCTTCATACTTTGCAGTGCATTGTTCACTTTAAGAGGAAAGCATCAAACATGACTCACACCTGAGAGAGCAGCTCTGACTGTCTATTTTGTGGCAATCTGAGAGTTCAGCCAAACCACACAGGCTTCACTGAACCAGAGGTCAACTGCACACTGGTGCAGTAACTACAGTGATGGTTTGATATTTTTCCAAGACAAGACAGCGAGCTGAGTCAGAGGAAGGCCCTTCTGGGGAGTACTGGACTAACTTAATGTTTTCTCAATGTAGGCCCAGTGGTGAACCTGGAGAATGTGCATTGACATTACACGATATTAATGATAACAGCCCAAAAGAAAAGTCACCCATGTTGGTTACCACATCTTAATGTACTGTATATTAATACATATCTACATCATCTACATTACGACTGTCAGTGATGTTGTATTTGATAAAGAGCACACTGACATATGAGCAATAATGGGTTATTTGAGGTAATTCTAATAAATAAGCTAAATGGTAAAATGTAAACATTAGTGAGTGTTGGCACAGTTGTGTTATTAAATCATAACTATTCACTCTTAATGACCAGAAGTATCAAAAATAGAAGCTTAATATTATAATCAGCAAGTTTGATTAAAGCCAACCTGCTAAAAGTGCAACTCGAGTGATTATGGCACACCGGGTTGTGACTAGCGTTTCATATCACAATGCGATTTAGGAGCAGATATTTTACATTTTTAATACATTTTAAATACTGAATGTTTGGTTCATCTTGACAGAGGGTTTGGCAACCTTGGACAGTGATCATAGAAAGGTTTTCAAAACACATACCGTAAGCATTTAGATTTACTTGGTGGAGAAGAATGAGTCAGTCTGAATATTTTTGGAATTATTTTTGAAAAAAAAAAGAAATGGTCAGCATAAAAACTGCGTTTCTAAAGACTGAACTTTAGAGTTGAGTAAACACAGACGCAGGAGGAAGTAGCTCAGCAATCTGGACACAAATTGGCCCAACAGAGTCACGTAGCACATAAGGAATGATACACGAATGTAATAATGAATAAGTTCAGGCTAAAGTGACATTAGTTTATTCAATTACAACTGTAGGTCTAAATAAATAATTTAAATGAATACATAATTCTGACAATGAAGATACTTTAAACTATATTTGATACATGTCAGGATGCTGGTCTCTGGTTAGAATGGTGGATAAGTGTAAATATTCACTTATAAATACTACATATTAAGGGAAATTGTATAAGTAATAATGTAGCTCAGTTCACAGCTTAAAAAACCATTAATGTGCAGAAAACTATAGAACAATGAGGTATTCTGGTCCAGTGGAAGCTGCCAGTGTGGT